CCTGCTGAATCGTTCCCTTCAGAGCATCCAAGTAGCCCATCAGCTTTACTGGTAAGATGATTTGCCATTACTACCATAGTAGTTTTCTGTTGCAGTGAACATTATCCATGAGTCTGTTGGTGACAAACTGTCTTTTTGTTTAAAATCAACAGAAACCTGAGCATTTTGCTCCTTCTATATTCTCCTTTCAGTACTGGATATGGGTAGATTACATAAAAGATCACTTAGGTCTGCCTTCATCCTGCCCCTAGCTGGAGGTGTGGGGGGAAGTCCTGTTCACCTAAGTAAGATACTATTTGTATTTTTCTGCATTAACCAAAAAAAAAAGTCTTCCTCAAAATTTGCAAGCTCCAAGCAGCATTAGCTTCTAAAGGATCCTGCTTTTGTGATTTCTCTGACTTCTCCTGAAGTCAGACTTCTCATGTGTGTCAAACTGTATCTCTTACCCCTTTGCACATCAGTCTGACTTGTGATGGTAGAGTTTCCAGTACTTTCTTTTCATGATTATGGAGATGTACTAGTCCTGACAGTAACTGCCATTCACCATCTGCCTCTACAACACAGGCACCTCTGTAACTGCATTGCTGCATGCGGTGGTGGTTCTCTTTGCTGTGCAGTCATGTTAAGGCTCTCTGATAGGAATGTGGCTTTCTGCTGTCTGAACCACTGCCCTGTGATTTGAAAAACAGTTTGAAAATCAAACTGTTGTGTGGTTTGGGTGGGGGTTTTGTTTCATGTTTAGTAATAATGGATGAACTGAACTTTCATTTACAGTTCAACTGGTTCAGACCCCTTAAAGCCAAAGCTTTCCTCCCTGCAAAGGAAAGACAACTTGAAATGTAATTATTTGGTTGATGAAGTGTGAGGTCGGAAAGAGCATAGCTCATACTTGCATTCCTGAATGATCTCTGGAAGTGTTAGTGAGGGTAAAACAGAATTATGAATGTGTTTGTTTCAATGAAATGACTAGGATAACAATAACATGCCTAATGAGCATATCTGTCAAATAAAGAGGAACCACATTTGGCAAGCCATGTTTCCAACCGTGCCTGCAATGCGCCTGAGACGATTTCTGCTGTCTTATATCAAACTTAGTCATACTGGATATAAAATGTGCAGCCTGGAGTTCTTAAATGCGCTGACAGTTGGCAGTTTTCCTGAGCAACTAGAAATGATTTCTAGAGTTCAATGGACAGTGGGAACATCATCGTTTTACCTGTGCTTTCTTTAACTTAAGTATCTGTGGTCGTCTTCCTTCTTACATTGTAGACCTGTGTAGTTCCCAATTTTTTTTCCCCCAAATTGTGTCCAAACTGTCTTGGGCAATATATAAGCAATCTTGGGTAATATATAGCAGATATTCCAACCTGAATAATGGAACTGTTATTCTGTTCCTTATCTGGAACAGTACAATTTAATGTGGCAAAATACATTTATTTTATATATGGTTTAATATATAGCATAACTATACATACCCACATCAAATACATTATTTCCTAGTGTTCACTGTATTCTCTGCTTTTAATCTGGCACTAACCCTGTCCATGTCATCCAACCATGGATTGTTTTTCAAGCACATTTTTCTCCCTGTGTGCATCAGCAGTCAGAGATATCATCCGCTACTGAGTGTTTGTTAAATATTTTGATTATCGTCTTCTGCTTCATTTGCAGATGGAACAGTTAACTAGTTTACTAAGCTTGTTTCTAATTACACATATCCTGGGGTTGCACATGATTGTGGACACTTCCCTTAAATAATATTTCTAATCGTATAAATAATTATTTGCTATTTACCCTTAAATAAATGGTATCTTCTACCTGAAATGCAAATTTTTGTTTCTTAGAAGGACAGCTTTTGATTAGATCTTAAAATGAATATGCGTGCATATGTATATGAGGTATATATATGCACATACCTTTCTAGATATATTCCAAGATTTACTTTTGGTTTTTTCTTCTTTATAATAAAAAATGTAATATCTCTAAATATTATTCTTCATTATTATCTTTTAGTATTGTTTTACCAAGTCACAAGACAGAAATGGATGTGATTTTGTCAGCATTAGGATCTTTGTAGTGTAGAGCACATTGTCTCACACTTAGCAGCCACTAACTTTCCTTGTAGACTTCATAATCTTAAGAGTTTGCTGCCAGGGTCTCTTTAGCCAAAAAATGCACAGGAGAGGGAGACACTGCGATAGTGGGTCAGGTGTGTCTATTTGAGTTCTTTTTCATGGAGCAACCTGTCAATAAACTGCAACAGATGACGAGTTTCTGAGAACAAATTCACCTAGTGGCCCTGTCTTAGAATATGGCAAAACCTGGGAGAGTAGGGAAACACGAGCAAATGCAGCTCTGTGGTGTTCATCCTTGGAAGTACAGCGGTAGAACTATGTGCACCTGATAAAAACTGACTGGTCATTAGTTGTAGGTGTGGAGGTCTTTTCACTTGATGTACTTGCTGCCTGGTTGCTCTCAGTTTCAAAAATGGCTAAATTTAAACAGTCTGGCTAAACTTGTGTGTATGATATATGAGGAGTTGTGCAAGCATCTAGTAGTCCCATTCAATTTAGTTGAAGGACCTGGGGTACCTCTTTTAATTTTTGTTCAAATGTTTCAGTCTAAACTGAGAAGTTTAATATGGCACACATCTCTTAAAATTGTGCTTCTTGTATTCATCACACTCTACACTTTTTTTACTTTGCTTACTCTGCTCCACGTTGGTTTTCAGTAGTAAACTGTTTTCTACGTAAGTGTTCAATTTCTCAAACTTCTTCAATAATAATTCATATTCCTGTTCTAGTATTTTAAAAGGCGGTTTCCCAAGTGATAAATTCTATTTACAAAATTTGACAGTAATATCATAGTTTTAATTAATTTATTATTTTGTTAATTAATAATTAATGTTTTCCTCTACTTCAAAAATTGAATTTCAGCCCTTATAAAAGTAATGGAAGCAGAGGTTTCTTCCACATATCTCTAGGAGTTTTTAAAAATAAACTCAATGATTTAATAATGTAGGGAACACGTGTGCATGTACACTCACATAACACAAAGAAATGCGATTAGTAACATTTTAATCTCAAGTGCTGCATTCTGTTTCATTGCCAAATTAGCAATCAAGAAGCAAGGACTGGTAAAAACAAACTTCAGTAACAAGATTAAATTTCTTTTTAATTGTAATGAATGACATTACTATTCAACTATTAAATAATACAACGTTATGCACAACGTACGAACCCAAAACATAACTTGGAAAAGAAGACTCTAATGTAATTCAGAAATGTGGTGATGTGATTTTAGAACCACAGGGGAAAAGCCAACAAATTTTAACTTCCATGTTTTACAACACTATTGTAAATCTAGAAACTGTTTACTAGAACTGGTGGTGACTGTCAACACTGGCTTATTCTAATGAGAAACATAATTTATATTGATGTCTCAGTTATTTAAAATTTACTTAATTTCCCTGCATGCCAGAGATAAGCAGCTACCTAACAACGATGTACCAGCTCATGGCCTTTTTAATATTAATGTTGGATATTAAATTGTTAACTCCTTTCCATCCTGCAGTGATAAGTTGGAGTGAAGATCTTATTTAAAAATCATGGGACATTAATGGGCAAAGGTGGACAGAACAGATAGAATGTTCATTCTTGGGACACATGTTTAGCCGTTGTACATCAGAATAGCCGTTGTACATCAATTCAGTCTGTTCTTTGCTTGTATCTGCTGCAAGTTTGTCCCATTAATTCTGCTTTTGAGAGTGGAAAGGTACTTGATCTTACACCCTGTGTTTGGGTTTTTATCATGTGTGACTTTCCCCTTCTCTACATTCTTGAGGAATTTGGTCCATGTGCATCAAGAATATTTCAACTCACCACTGGTACTTTTGAATGCACTCCCCTTCTCCAGGAGCCTAAAAATCATCTGTGCAAACATTGCCAGCACAGGACCTGTGTACCACGTGAATCCCTTATTTCAAGAGTTCCTAATGTATGTGAGGCATGGGGAACATTTACCCTGCCCCCCGTCTTTGAGAAATTTGCTGTGGTTCTTGTCCCTTCCCATCTGAGTTCCTGGGAGGGGAGAAGGCTGGAGCAAGTTTTCCAATTCCCTGGAGCTATGGTGAGAAGAGAAGGCATTAAACTGGTTGTAGCAAAGCAGAATAGTTGCTTGAGGGGAAGGAAGTGTGCTGAGCCCCTTTGGCCCCTTCTGCTTGTTGAAAGTCTCTGTTTATCTCACACACAGGGTTTCACTGTCAGCTTTTCTGCTGGAGTTCCAATGGAGTTGTCTCTGGCAACGCGCCCATCGGTTTCCCATTTTCTTGAGTGTTTTTGGGTTTTAGCTATTTTCATGGGTGGCAGCTGCAGCACACAATCAAGCAGCTGGCTGGGGCAGCCTGGGCCCAGGACTGTGTCTCACAGATGGTTGCCTTCCTCAGGAGGATTGAAAAATGGGAAGAAGCGCAATGTCCTCCAGGATCTGTGGCAGCTGCTTGAAGGTGAGGCTGAGAAACAGGTTTCATTGTTGTGGGAAGAGTACAAGTGTTTGTAACTTTTGGCAGAGCATGACAATCTGGTATGCTTAGCTCAAGAATAGAAAAAGTCAGGTGAAATCCTTGCTGAAGGCAAAGTGTCCTTTTGTAGCTTGTCTTCTAAGTCACTGAAACTTTATAGAACTTTTCAAGTTGGCAGCATGTCTCAACTATATTTTGACTGACAACCAAGAGAAAAGGGAGTAATCTTCTATGTTTTTTCAGTCCACATCTTGTAGATAAGTGAGAAAGGAAAAAGGAACTCAGTGAAATTCAGAAAACTGAATTAGACTGTTGATTTCCAGGCTACAATATAATGTTTTATTTTTATTTATTTTTCTATATAAAAGAGAATTGCAAGAAGGAAAAAGAACATAAGCCATGTATAAAAGCTTAAAAAATACCTTGGTTGAATTCTCTACTGTTTGGGGGTTTGTCCCTCAATACTATGTTTTCCAAAATCGTTGCCACTCAGTTTCATTCAGCACTCTAGCATTGGAACAATAGATTATTG